AATTGAAATCAAGTGTGGAATAAATCTTTCATGATACATACATATGATTGTATTTCGAAAAAAGGTTTTTATAGATTGTTCTACCTTAAATGCATGTTATTACAACATTTTTCTATGTCTGAATGAATTGATATTTTGTAGTGGGTGCAATTGTTTTTTTTTTTATTTTTTGTAGATGGCTTTTGGCGTGGACTTGTGGATAGTCTACATTTTTGTTTATGAAAGACACTTGACACTTTTGTATAATCCTGCTAACCATGTCTTCCTCTGCTTTTGTGAATATTAGCATTACTGATATATATAACTTTTGTAATCCAACTGATAGTTGCTGGTGTGGCATATAGATCACCTTTTGTCGTGGTACAAATGACAATGGTAAGTTGTACCACGCCAAATGGCTATATCACATGGTAGTAAATATATTTGTTGTATATGGCGGGTTGGATTTTTGTATGGAAATATAATTTTAGTTTGGACAATAGTTGGTTTGTATGGAATATATGCATTTAAAGATATTTATTTTTGGATGGTTGGAAGTAATATGGATTGTGGCATGATTGATAATTTTACGTTGTGAAATGATGGATAGTATATGTATTTTTTTGTTTGTATACGTATTACATGTTGCATGGAATATAGTCAGGTTGTGAATAAATTATAATTTTGTGATGAAACATAAGAGCATGTTTTTGGCGACTAAATTGTAAGTAGCTAAAAAAAAAAATCGAAAAATAGACGGTGACGATCAACCGTCCGTCGTCGTCCCCCATCCCCCATCACCGTTGTGCCTTCGATTTCAGTGTTCTCTCTCCGACGATGGACTGCATGATGATCAGAACCCTAACCATCGCTTCTCTCTCCGACGATGGATTTTAGGGTTTTTTTTTTGTTTGTTGAGGTTTTCAGTGTTTTTTTTAATAATAATTAAGCATTTTAGCCATTAATGAAATAAATTTTATATTAATTGGTACTAATTAATAATTTTAGTATTAATTGATGCTACTTAAGTCATTAATTGACACGAATTAATTTATAATGAAAAAATGAAATAATTTTACTAAAAATAAAAAAAGTGAAATATCACTAAAAAAAATGATATAAATTGAAAAAAAATAAAAGGATTTGTCAAATGAAAAATGAATTACTAAAAATAAAAAAATGAAATATCACTAAAAAAAATATTTCAATTAATATTGAAATAAATTGTGCAATTTATATCCATTAAATAAATTACACAATTTATTTCACAATTATTGATATAAATTGCACAATTTCACAATTTAAATAAAGAAATAAATTTCACAATTGTTATATTATTAATTGTAATGAAAAAAAATTAATAAAAACAGAATCAAAATTTTTAAGCCATTAATTGACACTAATTAATTTATAATGAAGAAAAAGATAAAAAAGAAAAAAGAAAAAAAAGTATTGATGCTAATTAAGCCATTAATTGACATTAATTAATTTGTAATGAAAAAATAAAATAATTTTATACTAATTGATACTATTAATGAAAATAATAATTTTTGTAATACTAATTATATTAACTTTTATTAATGAAATAACTTTTTTAAAATTAAAATTGAAAAAAAAAAGACAAAATAATCATTTTTATATCATATAAGGGCAAAAAAGACAATTACATAGCAAAAAATTATTTTACAGCTTATCAACCAAACACTACTCTACTGTTTAAATCCATAATCTCACAACTGCACCAAACAGGTTAACAGTTTATATTTATAACTATAATATATAGTCTGTTAAATTATAATTTATAAACACTTTCTCACGACTCTATTAAACGGGCCATAGATGTAAAGTTATGTCTTTGTATCTAGCGATATAAGCAGATGAGGTTTTTCCTTTTCTTTTTATTTTTTAATTTTTTTAAGATCCCGAGTAATAGTTTCTTAGAAGAACAAGGACAGAAAAAGTTTCTCAACTAGTCTTGGTCTTCAAAGCAATAAATTTATTGCATTAGTTATAAAAAAATTTGACAGAAATACCCTCAGTCACAATTGACGAATAGTTCAGGTAACACCTACACTTTTGAACTCATTTGAAAATTTTAAAATCCAATAATTTTTAATCTAGTTCTCCTGTTTTTTTTTTTTTTTTCATAAATAATAAATAAAGACAAAAAGTTCACTAAGTTGGTTCTTACCAAACAATGAAACTTCATTGTCCAAAATGGGAATTTATTGTCATAGGACAGCAAACTTTCACTCAAGACAATGAAATTACCACAAAATTTTTCTTTGGACAGTGAAATTCCACTTTACAACATGTAGTTGTTTTTTGCATATTCATTATGTTTAATGTAGTGAAATTTTCAATTGATGTTCAAAAATGTAAAATTGAAAGGACAATTGCAAAATATATATTCTTATTTTCAAATTTAGGGAGCAAAAAGACACTCAAGACTATGAAATTACAATAAAATTTCACTTTGGACAGCGAATAGTAAAATTTCAATAACTGTCAGAGAAATATATGAATATTCTCTATGAATATATCTTGTCCGAGTTCATTAACAATAATTCTAAGTATTCAAAATTAATATCTGAAAATCTATCCATGAAAAAGTATTCCCTTACGTTAATTCTTATATAATACGGTTCACATTTTAGAATAAATTTAAATCATCCTATTTTTTCTGATTAAAATTTTAAATACCAGCTTTTATACGTGAAATTACTTTTATTCAAAAGATACATACGATAGGACAAAGCAATAAATTTTCTCAATTGATAACTAATGCATCAATGAGTCTCTACTCTACAAAGTTCATTGGATGCAAGAAAGATTTAAGGCTTTTTTCAAATCTTAGCATGTCTCGTTCCTCCAAGGAAACTATTGTTTCAACTCCCGCACCATCTATGGTGTCCAACAATATAAATCATCGTGCAATCACTACATAAGTAGTAGTAACCCAAATGGGCTTTCCCCAACCAAAATCAGCCTCGTAGAAAGGAAATCTACACCAACTACTTATTGACCACACCAAATTTCTTTTTGTCTTATGCTCTGAGCATTGGCTGGCTTCTGATTGCATGACTATCATGCAACTCTTCATTCCTTGCAAACTCATCATCAATGTTATCGAAGCCATCTTTGAGTTGGGTCACCAAGAGATGCAGCTCTACGTTGTCATCTTCGGCCGTTGCAACCATTAAATTTTTAACAAAGTTTCCAAATGAATGGCCGGACAATGGAGGGTGGTGGATTCGACCTCCCAAGTTCACTGGAGTATTCAATATAATAAGCTTTTCAGGAGCAATAGAGACAGGCCCGGCCATGAGATTTCCGGGATCCAAAATCGATAATCAACTAATAATTTTTTGGGCCCTTCATATTTTATTTTTTTCTTCATTGAATGAAAAAAAAGGAAAAAAAAAATGAAAGTAAAAGACAAAAGATTTATATCAAAATCACAAAAAATACTTAGTATCAAATTGCTACAACTAACAATTATCGCTTGATTCTCGTTCTTCTTGCATTTTTAGAAGCAAATTAATCAATCATACTTGAATAATCTAGTTTTTTTACAAAGTCATTTTCAATAGGTAACAATGCTATTGTTTTAAATGAGCCTTTCAATTTTTTAATAAGTCGATTTATTTTAAGTTAATTTGGGTCTTCCTTAATTTTTTTTAGATTTAAAACATACCTAATATATTACAATAAACTATAATAGGAAAGGACCCTTTTTTTTGGGTCTATTTTCAATTAATAAAAATGTTAATTTTTTTAAATGGGCCTTTTAATTTTTTAATGGATCAATTTATTTTAAGTTAGTTTGGGTCTTCTTTAATTTTTTTTTTTAAACTTAAAACATACCTAATATATTACACTAAACCATAGTAGAAGGAAACCTATTTTTTGAGTCTATTTTGAGGGGTCCTAGGCCATGGCCTTATTGACCCATGCCCAAGGAAGGCCATGGCCGGCACTGGATATAAATTCACAAAATGTTATACGCTGTATATATTATACTATTTATACTAATTAGTGGCAATGGTGATGGCGTTAATACAGGTGGAGTGTAGTTTGATTGGTAAAAGTTGATACCCAAAACATTTTTTTAAAAAAAAAATTAAATTAGTTTCGTAATTATAATGATATAATTTTATCATATTTATTTTATAAAAAATATATAATTTTTTTTAAAAATTGTATTTATCTTGTATATTTTAAAATAAACATAATAAATTTGTTTAACTTTTTACAAAAATCTATATATAAAAAGAAATGATATGATCTAAATAAATGTATTTATTTTAATCATTCCCAAACAATCCTTAAATAATAATAATTAAAAAAAAACTACGAAATAAATAATAAAAAAAACTCCCCTAAGAGGGATCAGTGGGATTAAAACCGTTGGATCACGGCAGACTCGAGGCGCCAGTTAAAGTAGTCGAGTCGAGTGCGCTCGAAGCTCCAAAAACCTGCATCCTTTACCCAACCCAACTCCCTACTCTTTCGTTCCAGATCCAATCAACAGATAGATTTAACACTCAGATTCAACAGTGTTTGTACATATATAATTATGTTGTATCTTTGTAATCTATAGCTTGCCGATCATCGATCAGTTTCAAGATATGGATCTATAGATTTGGCCTCAAATTCTAGGTTTCGGGTAATTCTCAAGAACTCATCTCTTTTTTTACTTCAGAACAGTCCCGATAATCGATTCAACTCAAAAAAAAATTCAACATCTACGGATCTGAGTGAAGAAGCTCTGCAATTATGCTAATTTTATGCAACTTATTGAAATCATAGCTAGTGTTCACATAAAAAACATTTCAATAACAGAGGAGAGAAATCGAACCTTGCGAGTGGTGATGATGAGTAGCGGCGAAAGTTGAAATCGACTACCCAAAAGCAACAACCAAAACATTGCAAAATCAGAGGAGAGAAAAATACAACAGAGAGGATTTTCTTCTTGGAAGAAAGTCAATGAAGGGAAGAATTGTCCTTTGTTATCGCATATGGGCAAGGATCCTAACTCATCGCATAGAGTTGCTATCAAATGTTGTTGTGATTTAACAAATCAAGCACAACATATTGAGGCAATTATTGAAAAACAAACTTCCATACAAATTGCTAGAAATCATTTGCGATTGAAGACCTCAATAGATGTGATTAAATGGTTAACATTCCAAACCTGCGCTTTCAGAGGTCGTGATGAATGCCACGAATCTAACAACCGAGGGAATGTGCTCTTGGCTTCTTATAATGAGGATGTAGCAGCAGTGGTTTTGGAAAATGCTCCTCAAAATGCTTCATATCATTCCCATGGGATTCAAAAGCAGATTCTTAGTATTTTCTCTGATAAGATACAAAAATTCATTCGTGAGGAGATTAATGATGGGAATTTTTGCATTCTAGTTGATGAATCTGAAGATGAATCGAAAAGAGAGCAAATGGCAATTGTTTTGAGATTTGTTGATAAATATGGTTTTACAAAAGAGTGTTTCTTTGACATAGTTCATGTGTTAGATACCACGTCGGCAACTTTGAAAGAAGAAATTTGTATTGTCCTTTCTCGTCATAACCTTAGTGTGCAAAATATTCGTGGTCAAGGATATGATAGTGCCAGTAACATGTCTGGAGAATGGACTGGGTTGCAGGATTTATTTTGTGCTGAGTGTCCATTCGCATATTATGTTCATTGCTTTGCTCATCGGCTCCAATTGGCTTTAGTAAGAGCATCTAAACAGGTTATATCTGTTGGACAATCTTCACTGTATTTAAAAAGATTAAATTCTGTTGTGTACAAAACAACAACAAGAATATAAAGAAATAAAGAAAATGAGAGAATTTTTTTGATTACAAAAATCAAACTCGAAATAAAAATAAATAAATAAAAACAGATTTTATTTTGTTACAAAAACAAAATTAAAATCTAATTAATTAAACCAAAAAAAAACAAAATAAAAATTAAACAACTTACTTGGTTAATTTCTTTTGAATAACTATCTGATCAAGTCCAGTGTTTAACACTGTGTCCTTAAGACAGATTCGTCCTCTCCACGGTGCTTTCAGAATCTGGACGTCTATCTCCCAGGATAAAATGATCTATCAACGAATAAAAGCAGCACTACAATTTATTCGTTCATCGAACACATTAAGTGTTTATACTCTCTGTAACAAGAACTTAATGCAAAATGAAGAATAAATTTATAGTAGAAGATGGAGTACGAAAATTGGAGTCTTTTTCCAAATGGGGGGGCTTAGCCTATTTATAGATGGATTGGTGGCTTTCCATTTTGAATTAAACAGGTACTGTACCTGTTCAATTTGAATTAAACAGATACAAAACTATTTAGGCACTGCTTGGTTTGAAATTCAAACAGATTTAGAGCTGTTGGGTTCAAAAAACGGAAGGGCCCTATTTGGATGTACAGAAAAAACCGAACTAGATTATTTCCGGTTAATTTGAATTATGGATTTTATTTTACCAAAAAATAAAAATAAATTCAAATGTTTTTGGCCCAAAAAGATTAGTATTGGGCTGAACAAGCCCAACCACACACCACGCACCCGCGCCCAAGCCCAGCCCGCTCGACCAGATGGACGGCGGCGGCGGCGCGCGCGCGCGCGTGTGGTGATTTTTGGGTCCAATGGGTCTAGCCCATTTTTTGTACTTCCATGATTCTTCTTAGGGCGACGGCAGTCAGAAGCTCGATGTCCAGTTTTGCCACAGTTATAGTATTTTTCTTTGAACTTCTTGTCGCTATCGTCTTGTTTAGGACCATCTCCAGTAAACTTCCTCTTTTTGTTATATGGTTTATGAACTTGTTCAACCACATTTGCCTTGGACTCAATGGGATTTTTCTCATTCCTTTTTTCAGCCTTACGGTTATCTTCCTCAATTCTCAGTCTTACAATCAGTTTATCCATGGTCATCTCTTTACGTTTATGTTTGAAATAATTTTTGAAATATTTCCAAGCCGATGGTAATTTTTCCACTAAAGCAGGGACTTGGAAAGATTTACTAAGAGACATACCCTCAGCATGAATATCATGCAAAATTAATTGAAAACTTTGAACTTGAGAAATTACCGTTTGGGAGTCTATCATAACAAAGTCCAGTGGAAGATCCACCAATCCATAAGTATGATTTTGCATAATGGATTCAATTTCATTATTAACAGTCTCTTTCCACATAGGTGCTTCAAGACTTGATATTGTTTCCTTAAAGCTCTGAGGCTCCTTTTCTAAAAGGTATATCAGAAAATCTGGACCAAAGGATTTTGATATTCTCGCTCTTTTACTTTGTGTTGATTCATCATCAGTTAAATCTTATTGATTAAGACCATTACTAGTCTCTTGCATTTGATTGTCGTTAGTCTCTTGACTTTGTATACAATCATAAGTTCTTTTCTGTGAACTTAATTCCTGTCATTTCTTGTAAGGAAAAATATGTTCAAAGAAAACAACATTCCTTGACTCTATAATAGTGTTCACATCTATATCAGATATTTTTGATTTATAAGTCAGAAACCGATATGCACTACTATTCTGAGCATAACCAATAAACACACAATCTACTGTTTTTGGTCCAATTTTAAT